TTAAGAGCAGACTGTAAGTCTGTTCGCTTAAAACTAGAAAAAAGAAAAAGAAAAATAGTTACGTGACGTTGAAATTTTACAACTAAACCAAGATTTTTAAGCTTATTTTAAATGTTTCTAACAAATTACAATAAGTTTTACAGTATATAAGTCGAGTATAAAACGTTAATTTCTCAACTTAATCTCAAAATTTCTTTAGAAAATCAATGAAAAGTTAATTAAATTAAGTAGAAAATAACGCACCAGTAGATCTGTTTATCCACCAACTTCAAAAAATGATAAAGATGAAGGAAGATGCTCGATCGAGTTCGGAATTAGTCTTGTGAAGATCACGAAAATCAACCAAGCTTCTCACTTATATTGAGACCAACTATATCAATAATTGAATCCTTCTATACTTACATCTCATGGGACAATAATATTTGTAGAAGGGACTCGATCGAGTAAAAAACTTCCAGAACAAATCAACAATAAAAAGCTATTCAGAAACGTATAAAAAGCTTTAAAAATGCGTAAAAAAAATTGTATAAAATAATTACTTATTTGTTATAAAATCTCTNCTTAATTCATATATATATATATAGGTTAATCTAATAATTAAAGGCATTACAACTATAATATTATAACTTATTTTGATCGTAGCAATTAACCTATTAGGATAAGTCACAGAATCACATCATCACTCTAGAGAATTGCATCTAATCAATTTATATCTTGCTCGTTAGTCAATCAAATTATGCCAGTGCAAGCAATCAATCGATTTATGAGATTCATTACAGAAATATTTAAAGTATACAAATTACAGATTTTATTTAATCCGTTTAAATCTTCGAGTACACGTACACAAACCTAAGAAATTTTTCATATTAATTGTACTGTACATTCTATGTTGAAGCGAATTAAAGACTTAAATACATTAGTAAAAAGCACGCAAAACTAATTGTTTTTAGTAAATTAACGACTAGAAAACAATTATAATTTATAATTTAATTATTATAACAGTAGAGTTTAAGGATTTATATTTAAATAGAAATTTAAGTGTGATTTACTTGGTTAGTTTGTATACTTTGATATACACGTATATTAAGAGGGAATATTATCGTGAATTGTAAAGAATAAATCATATGTCGATTATATTACATTTTCTATAGTTTATTCAGTAGAAAAGTATTCTCATCAAATGTATAACATCCTAAAAACAGTACTCAGTTACTCGTTTCGAACAAACAATAGCATCATCAGAAGGCAATTAGAGTGAGTGAAGGAAGTGGTGATTGGTGGGCACATCATCTCCGGTTGAGTTCCAATAGCAGGAAGATACAGTAATCAGATATCTTTGCCTGGACTAAGGTATCCAATTTCCCAACTAATGCGATAAATGACAAAGGTACTCGTACAATCTTTGACTATGTATTGCAAATACAATAATAGTTCAACCATTAACGTCGTATATATTTTTCAAAATGGAAATTTTTATATTTTAAATTTTTTTTTATATATATCTGTTTGCCTCTTTCTATACTGAGATTAAATTACTTTAATTTTGTTTAAAATATTTTTCAATTTATCTAAATTATTTAAATATACAGATAGAAATTATATAACTGTTCTGAATACTCTTCATAATATACTCCTGTATATTTTAAATTTTTAATTATTATTTGATATCATCGTGTGTAAATTTTCTCCTTTTTCTTCTCAATATCTCATACATATTGTAAAATTCGTATGTAAACACTACTATTAAAAATATTCTTCTAAAATTAATTCTCATCTATATCTTCATGAAAATTTAAAAATTCTAGTTTATTTAATAGTTAAGATTATTTTCCTTCACAGAATTGTACAAAATCCATTCAAAAATATTCTTGAATAATGATTTGATTCCTTTATAAATTCAGTTTTTATATTATTTTCTGTAAACATTGTAATTTTCAGAATTATTCAAGTAAAGAATATATTCCTCTATATCCAGCAAGTTGTATAATCTTTACAACTCAGCAAAGATCTTCAATATTTCTCATTAAAAATGAAGTACTTTAAACATCCTCAGCAAACGTTAATATTAAAAGAGTCTCTCCAAATAAGGAATTCAACAATGGTTCCTTGTAAATTCTTTCGAGTTTCAATAGTTTTAATTGTTTTAAAGTCATGATAAATTTACTAACTTTACGAAAGTGGGAATTTTTTTTTTTAAAGAATTAGCATAGTCTGTAGAACCGATTAATTCCGGTTCCTAAGAGAAAGAAGTATATCACACTCTTTAATTACATGAATTAAATTGTTTTAGGCACATTGGTCTAATATTTCTGCTAGGAATTTCATAGGTGATGGGTGAAATTTTACCAAACGTAATTACACCCATCTACTGTCCATCAGAGAAAATTAAAGTCGCTGAATACTCAGCTTTCATGCATAAAATTGCAGCTGTCCTTTTATTACTTCAGGCAATTTAATCTTGTCTACAGGTACAGCGATATCCGTAATCAGAATATACTTTAAAGTGGAAAAAAAAATTAAAAAAAATAATTTATTTTTCATCAGAAGATAGCTTACACAATTTATTGCGGTTTGCGACATGCGAAATGCCTGTAGCTGATTTATAGGGCCATTTCATCATAAGCGTGAAATTACTCAGCCATATGATGCAAATTTTTGAATACATATCGGATATACTTTAAAGAATTTATAATTCAAATATATATATATTTGTTTTTCTTCCCCTCCTTCTCTTCTTTTACTTCTTCTCCTCCNAACTCATTGAACAATTTCTTCTCCAAAAGTAACGACTGCTTCTTTTGTAAGAGAAATGATGTTATGTACAGATAAGAAAATAAAATGCAAGAAAACAAAAGTTTTATTTTCTCTTATTTCTTGAGCTAACACAAAGAAAATGAAACTCATTGCAACAGATGGAGTTTTAATAGTGTACTAAGTGTAATTCATTATTTACTCCCCTGCTGAAAGTAATGTCATCACAAAAATGACTACTTATGTTGTGGAATCAAGATGACATTAGGACTTGGTAGCAAAATTTTATTTACAGTCATTACTATTTGTCACTGTTTTTTGTATTTTGATTAGAGTTAGAAGATAAGGTAATAGAAAAAGTACAACTCACATTACAAGAATCATTGAAAAAGAAAATATAAAATTGGCTTGAATATGTTGGAATATACCAAGAAAATAGTTCATTGGGTATATCTATCACAATAAAAACTTTGTTGGACACTACAAGGGACAGTAGAAGTACTAAAGATGAGACTCTAGTTATTACCTCCATAGACTTTTTCATTTGTAGTCAGACAACACACTCATTTTGAGTGTTGTTGGCTTGGCTTTTCCTGTCTTCTAGTTTCACTTCAAATCTATTGTGAATTTTGGAAGGTGACCAACCTTCATTGTAATAATTTCCAATAAAACTGACAATTTTTTTTTTGTTAAGCTAAAATTTGGGTTTTTCAAATTGGTAAGATCTTTAAGCATGGACAATAAATTATAAGACTTAAAAGAACGTATTTTACGAACTAATTAACCAATATGTGGAATTTAGATGCATGACTTATTTCAACTTTTAAGTTAAGACTGACCATTAAAAAAAAAATGACAACTTTAATCATGATATCCAATTTATCTTTGGCATTATAAAATGTTCATTATATAGTTTTTATATAAATTGTTTTGGCTGGAATTAAATAAAATCACATTTTCAGTATCAGAATAATTTTTTCTCATACATAATATGAAATTCATATACAGTAAGAATAAATTCATAGTCAATTTTTTCTCATCAATATTTTTATTGATTTTATTTATTTATAAAAATAATAATCTATATACAATGATATATGTTAATGCTGCTATAATTTAATTATTGAAAAATATTAATTTCTAAAGATCAGCATAGAAAAAATAATTAGTGATAAATAGTATCATAATTAATCATTTTTGCAGTTTTGTGTAATGCCAAATGTATTTTTTTCTTCTAATTATTTATGTTAAGTTTATAATGAATTAATGACTGTAAAATAATTTTTATAAAAACATTGTATGAAAATTATATCAAGTTTTTATGAACCTTCAATAACAAAATGCATGCAAGAGGAAAGTTTTTCAAGTTTTGAAATTTGTCGTGTAAAATATATATTACTATTTAAATTCTTTACTTATCCAGCAGAATATTTCTTTAAATACATAATAACGAATGTTTTCGGCTGCCTTCTTTGACCATCTTCACATTTATCAAGCACCAATCAAATGGAACATTATTATTGCAAACTTCTGAGAAGTTCATGTTGATATTGTTTGTATTGGCTGAAGAACTAACAAACTAAGACAGCCAAAAACATTCATTATTGCATGTTTACTTATCCAGCAGATTACTTCTTTAAAGATTTTGAATAGTAATATAAAATTCAGTTGTGTAAATGTTAATTTACATGTAAAATATATCTTTAAAAATGTAATAACATTTTAATAAATAAATCCATCTATCTATTTTAAGAATATTAACATATAAAATCTTAACAGAAATTGTATATAACAAAAATATTTAAAATATGAATCAATACTTAATAAAATATAACAAGATGGCTTCCTAAAATACTATCACAAAATCTCAAAGTTTAGCTAATAAGCCAAAATGATAATCAAGAAATAGAAATCATCTTATATCATGGATTTTTAATTATTATATTTCTTCTAATTAATGAATTTTGAATGAAATAAAAGTTTTAACAGGATTAACAGGAAAATTAATTATTGAATATTGCATATTCCCTCCAGAAGTCTTTTTTAAATAAAGTATTTACAGTATTGTAATGCAAAGACATATCAAAATATCTTTAATTTGAATGTCTTTCTTTATTTTATAATTAATTTTTTTTCAAATAGATTTCTCTTTATAATAATGACTTTTTAAAGAATTAAATAATGTATTATTTCAATATTTTATTCCTATTTCTTGAGCATCATAATTTTTTAAAATATCAATAAAAATTTGAAAAATATTTTTTAACATGAGTTTGTTTTGGGAATGTTAAAGAAAAGTAATTTCTAAAAGCACCAGTAAGCTATCACAGTTAAATTTAGAATTCATCGTGAAAACTTTTTGCTGTATCAATCATTTTGCTTCCCATAAACACATCTTTCTTTGATAGTATTTCCTCGATAGATAACTTTCCATCCTTATCCAGATCGGCTAAAGCTATTAATTCCCGAGCTTCTCTTTTTGCAAGAACAGGATTTTCAGGATCGTTGTACATCTGATAAGAGTTAATTTAAAGACTAAATAATAAATTTTATATCAAAAACAATACATTGTTACAAATGAATTACCAATAATTCCTGTCTATTGACTTTGCCATCATGGTTAATATCAATAACTTCTCGAAATTCTTTAAGTCTCTGTCTTTTCCATTCTTTCTCTGACATTTTACTCGTTTCTTCCATTGGCATTGACATAAACTCTTCTTCAGTCAGCAATTCATCTCCGTCAGAATCTAAAAATTAAAGTTCAATCTGATCATTTTAATCATAAATTTTCAAATTACTTAGAAATATTTTATACCAAGGTTGTTAATGATATCGTTCACCATGTTCAACAGAGAAACGTGGCTATGTTCAGGATGGCGGAATGTTAAAAATTCATCTATATTTAATGCATCTGGATCGGAGTTTGCCGCTTCGGACCAAGCAGCTTTGTCCAATAATATTTTTTCTAAAACTAAATTAAACATTTAACTCCATTAGTTAATTCATAATTATAAAATTTATATATATTAAATTTTAATATATATCTAATACCTTTTCTATTTAATTTTTTATGATCTTTAGGATGATTTTTTGCAAATTTTTCATCAAAACCTTGCTCCATCATAAAATTCACATGATATTCATCCCAACTAACTCTTCCTAAAATAATTAAATTTTAGCATTAGTTTATTTATTATTTGCAAGCATTTTCTTTGCAATATTCAAAATTACCATTTCTATCTTTATCAAGAGTTGAAAATATCCAAAAATTATCTTTTACTGCTTTCAGAAAATGCTCTTTTATTTTAGCTGCAATCCACTTTTCTAGTTCATTTTGACTTAGAAGATCGTTATTATTTATATCGGCACTGAAAATATTAAAGTTCTAAATTAGTAAAAAAATATTTTAGGATTTATTAAGTTTTATAAATTATATTATATTATTTAATCAGTAAACTTATTTAATAAAAATGTATGCAATTATTTTTAAAGTTTTATTATGTGCTGATTAATAATACTAATAATGTAAATCTCAAATCTGCTTCTTTAAAATTCAAACTAAAAATAAAACATAGGTCACAACTTGCAATTTTTGCTTTTGATACATACAATTTAAACTGATCTTAAAGAAATTTCTATGCATGGATTAAAGAAAGTTTAATAAAAAGCATGAACATAATTAGAAAACCACAAGAAGTTGTATGGTGATCGAATATCAAGCTTTATTATTCATCCTCACACGAGAAGACATTTTACAAATTATGATGGAAAACATACTACATATAAAACTCATGAATATTAAACATATAACTTCTTCTAGATTATTTTATAAATCGTAATATATTATATAAATAGATACGTTATATTTACTTTTAAATAAATCGAAATTACTTATATAATGTTCAACAAGAGAAATTTCTTTGACTTTTCATGACGAAATACTGCACCTCTACAAACACACACACACACACAGACGTACAGACACACAGGTCGAAATTTGATCAAGTTGAAACCATGCAATTCGTGTCACAAGTGACTATTGTAACTTGTCAATCAACAAAAATTGTAGCTAAATCGATTATTGTCGAACTAAACTTGGCAATCATCGGTATTTTTTGATGGTTTTGGGCCAATTTCTCACTTCCCTTTCACTTTTATTATAGAATTTATGACAGTTGCAATCTTTTCTATTTTTATTTTTATTTATAAAATTATTATAAATAATTCTAATATAAAAAAATAATAATAATAATAAACATGTCATACTGTGGAAGAAAAAGTTTTTATATTTTTCATAAGTGACAATATTCAATTCACACAACTACATAACACGAGAAGTATCTGCTTGAATACAACTTGAAGGAGGACACACCCCTACAATCCACCATCAGTCATTCTATTCTTTTACTACTATTTATCATGAAGAATGTAAAAAAATAAAGAGAAAAAAATTTGTCTAGAAAGTCGGTAGTAACTTCTGATGAAGACAAGTTCATGAATTATGATGCGATATTTTGTATTATTATTCGTGTTAAGATAAAACTTTTAGATAAAAATTTTACATTAAAAAAGATATACTGTATAATATATATATATATATAATTTAAATTGCATGAAAGATTAGAAATTTATTTAAGTCGCATACTTTAGCATAATGATCGAATGCTCATTTTTTAAGCGCTTAATTCTGCTCATCAGAAGTAGATTTTAAATTCATTTTGGTGATCGCACAACCCGAGTTCATTATGTCCTCCCTCATACGGAGATAAATGATGATTTATCCACCCAAAGTGTTACTTTTAAAAATGATTAAGGCGATGTTGATGGCGTTCAACAAATATCCCTACATCTCCATGTTTAACACCAAGATTTAGCTGTTCGAAAACTAGTTAATTTAACAAGTAGCACAGAAATCTTAACTAGGACATATAAGGAATCTAGAAATGATTTTCTACAATAAACTAATGGATATATTTGAGTACATTTCTCTGTTGACCACCTGACATTTGAAGCGAGGCGTGTCTCGAGTCGTGTCCTGAATTAGTCAGTGTCAGAATTAATTAGGAAGTAGATAGATGTTAACATTATGGAAAGAGCGAAATTACAATTCTTTGATATGATATATTTCCATAAATNCAATTTTACCTCTAATGGGTCCTGATTAAAGTGAGCTGTCAGGATATAATATGAGTTTGGAAGCAATTGTCTGACGAGTGCTAAGATACTAGTCAGCGTCAAGCGTAGATTTTCTGCTGTCTGGTGGCTCAAAAATCCCTTTTGATCAGTGCTTCTAATCTGTAATCTGAATGCTTCCCATCTATTTAACCATTCTAGAGATTCTTCAATAACCTATTTTAAAAAAGTTGTTAATTAAAACATTTATTGTTTTTCCTAGTGAATCATTACTATTACCTTGAGATCATTTGAATCGTGTCTAAACTTCTTATTTTTGTCGAATAAACTTATGTTAAAAGCTTTATTTGTATTCTAACTAAGTAAAACATAAGAGAAAATTTAATTTTAAAAAATATTTTAAAATTTTTATAACAGAAAATTAACATTTAAAAAAAAAATTTAGATTTTTAAATTATTTTTTTAATAATAAAATCGTACGTTAAATTATTTTTAAAACTGAATATTTGACCATTATCTTAAGAAAAATAATAATTATTATTATTATTTCTAATAAAAAATTGTATTAAACGAATGAAATTAAATTGTTTATTCGTTAATTATTATTTTAAAAATAATTATTACAAATGTTGTTTACGTGAGGCTTTCGTTGCTTCAGTATTTTTTTTTAATTGTAATTAAATATAATTATATTTAAGAAATATTTGGAGATAAAATTTTATTTCAATCAATTAATGTTTTTTTTTTAATTTTAAATTTCTTCTTTTAATTATAATTAAATTTTAATATCTTAATTAACCGTAATTAACATCAGTTTCTTTACGTTAACGGTAATTAACATTATTCAATTATTTAAAGGAAATAGACAATAATTATGATTTTAACGAGGTTTCCTGTAAAGTAATTTACATTTTTTTTCGTGTTAATTACAATTTAAACCGTTGACGATTGTAAGAATTCATAATTAAAAACTTTGGCTTATAAAGCTTCTAACACGTTGACGTGATAAAATTTTGGACTTTTTGACAATTTTATTTAAAAAATATTTTTACAATTGATATATATATAGGCTACAGTAGTTTATTATTGTCTAGGAATGTCGTTAGATCGAAGAATCGAAAAATGGTGTCAGTCACTTTATAGTGTAGTGTGAAGATATTTGACATTTAACTGATAATTTTTTTATATAAGACGACTTTGGCGTGAAAGGCAACAGCTATGATACCAAGAAAAACTAAGGACGGATATTGATGTTCTTTTGGGGCATAACGGAAGGATATTGTTGTTCTTTACTTCCTTACAATGACAAGCCATACAAGACTGTCAGTGTGAAGAAAATGGAAAAAAAAGAAAAAAGAAATCAGAAAACAAGTGTTTGAAAAGCACTGAATTCTCTGTTCAGTCAATTTACTTGATCTATTGATTCTATTCTGATGAAATCTCTGTATTTTGTTACTTTTTATACTATTTTTCTATTCAAAAAAATCTTCTATTAACTGTAAGTATCAATTGTTCGTATATACGATACAAAGAGTATTACACGCGAATTTCTTTTAGAGTTAATTGCAATTAGCTATTTCTTTTATACGTTTCAATTAAAGTGTTGTTTTTATAAATTTTTATTTATAAAAAAAATTCCTTTAATGATAGATATCAATTGCCAGAATATATGACACATAAAACCCATTAAATACGAATTTCTTTCAGAGTTAATTACAATTAACTATTTTTTACATTGAAATTAAAGTGTTTTTATAATAGTTAATTTAAAAACAACCCCTACGATAGGTATCAATTGCTAGTATATAAGTCATACAAAGCCCATTAAACACGAACTTCTTTGAGATTTTCATAAGGTAAACCGTTTTCATAAGGTAAAGAAATATTTAACTATTTAAAATATTTCAAAAGTTTAATTAAATTTAATTTATTACATTGAATTTTAATGTAATTTTAATTATTAAAATTACAAAATATATTAATGTTACTGATACAGTTAAATATATTCTTTGATTAATCATAATATAATATATTATTGTTAATTAGTAATCATTATCAATCATACAAATCACTATATTATTAAATGATTAGTGATTCAGTGATTAAAAGTGACTACTAAATAACAATTTATAGATAATATATCACTATATTAATTATGTAATAGTAATACAAGCATATATTTATGTATAAATATCGTGTACGTAGGTGTTATATTAACATATAACGATTATAAAAGTATGGAAATGTTTTATTTTTTTGTTTATATATTATAAAAATATTTTATTTATAATAGTAAAAGTTGTGCGAAGAATCGATGGAAGAAAAAGTTTTTATATTTTTCATAAGTGACAATATTCAATTCACACAACTACATAACACGAGAAGTATCTGCTTGAATACAACTTGAAGCAGGACACACCCCTACAATCCACCATCAGTCATTCTATTCTTTTACTACTATTTATCATGAAGAATGTAAAAAAATAAAGAGAAAAAAATTTGTCTAGAAAGTCGGTAGTAACTTCTGATGAAGACAAGTTCATGAATTATGATGCGATATTTTGTATTATTATTCGTGTTAAGATAAAACTTTTAGATAAAAATTTTACATTAAAAAAGATATACTGTATAATATATATATATATATAAAAGATATGTTGGAATAAATGTAAGTGTTTAAAGCTGTAAAAGGAAGAGAGGAATGTCATGTGAATATACTTGTATATTTTTTTCAATATAAAATTAAAATAGAATATCGCCGGGCTGCAATTTTTAATCATATTTTTTCAAAATTTATTTCACATTAAAATATACGCTTTCCATCTCAAATTAGTAGTGGTTTTCCCCTATACATTATACTTTTCCTTATAAGAATAAAGTCCTGCCGAACATTTAACACCTTTCGGGGGGAAATTTTTGAATTGAAATAACATGATTTTCGGTTTTTATCGGAAATATATAGTTAATTTGGGCCTATTAATTCCACATATGATCTCAAATTTCATCTCTCTTGTAACATTAACAAGATTAAGGAAAGACAGACGGACGGACGACAGTGGAAATTTATAGGTCTACAATTTTTTTTACAAATTGCAGCCAAATAATATATGTGTATTTATGTGTTTTTATGTATATACAGTAAAACCTGTTTAAACAGGGATAACAAATGTTTATTCCGGTTTGGCAAGTTTCCGTTTTTAATTTTACATAAAAAATTGTGCATATATAT